AAACCCGTGTTTCTCAGCAAATCGTTGGTCGATGTAGCAGGAGACTGCTCCAGAATCCAATAGTGCCGTTGTCTGGATTTCCCGTGATACGAATCTTATCGGCAATTCGATCGAATGTTTAGAAAAACCTGCGGATGCAATATATAGGTGGTCGCTAGGTACATTCGTTCTCACGGTACTAATACAATTGTCCTGAAGTGTGACACCAGACTCGTCTACACTTCGTACTGAAAATCCTCTGAGAAATCGTCTATCTCAACGATTCTCGCGTTGGTGTCCTTAAGCGTTGATACCGATGCCGTTGATGCCGCGTCCGTGTTTTTTGCCTTGTTTTTGCCCTTGCTGGACGGTGGTGAAGATGCGTTCGTGCTCATGCCCCGAAGTGCAGCAATTGCTTGTTCCAGTGCCGCAATTTGAGCTGATGAACCCGCGCTAGTTTCTTCTTCCACCTGTCGCACGTTGTTTGCCTTGCCCTTTCCTTTTCCCTGTCCTTGCTTCGGGGCGGATCGTGTCTGAAACCGCTTGCCTTTGTATTCAGGCTTGGGGGAGGGGCACCGCTTTCCTCGCTCATAGGCGTGCTTTCTGCAAAACAAGCATAGCTTGTTTGCCAGCCACCTGTCTTGTTCCGGGGAAAGTTCGTGTGCGATTCGTGCGCTGGTGTCCATTGCGTTAGGGTCCTTAGGAGCGGTCGCCTTGGTTGTCGTGGTTTGTCCAGTAGACTTGTTGCCCGTCATCTGCTGGAGATGCTTGATTTCTATTTCCAAGCAGAACTCGAGATAATCCATCCAAGTGGTTGGGATCTTCGAGGGGTCTAAAGTTTCTGTTACCGACATGACCGTTTGACTGTGGGTCGACCGCTGTTCCCTGATTTTGACGATTAAATCTTCGTCAGAGTATCCTGATTCGGGGGCGTAAGCCCTGAAATTCTCTGCGAAGGCAATCATCGTCTTGTGGCGGATTGTGCAATGTGCATCTAGTAATGATTGTGCCGTGCGCTTGGGGTCAAGCGTCTTGTATGCCATTTCCAATTTTCGGGTGTATTCAGCCCATGTGCCGACGTCTTGTCCTGAGGCGAGCTTGATTGCATACTCTTTCATGTATAGGGCAGCTCCTCCTTCTAGATGTGCGTTGGCTTGCCGAATTTTGTCCTTGTCGTCCGTGAAATGGTTATAGTCGAGCCAGATAAGTAGGTTCGTAAACCAAGTCTCAAAGTTTTCCGACGATTTTCTTCCCGAATACTTGGGAGGATCTGGGAGCTTGATTCGGCGGGGCGATTGACTGGTTTGGCCGGCCGGCGGTAGGATACCTGTGGAAGGTGCATTGATGATGGCATTGTTGAGTCGGGACTCTAAGCCGACAATGTAGGTAGTGGTCTTCTCCTGTGCCTCCTTCAGAGCGACCATGTTGCCGTAAAGGGCGTCCATCTGGCCCTTTACTTCATCCTTGTAGTCCTCGAAGTCTTTGCGAATTGTTTGAGCTTCGAGTGTCAGAGCGTTGTTGGCCTTAATGAGCCTTTCGCTGTCGGCAGAGAGGGCGCCGATCTGTGCTCTGGCCGTTTTTAGTTGTTCCTGTATTTCTTCTGCCTTTATCTCGACATGAATACGAGACAACATTTCTGCTTCCATTGATGCCACCGTGCGCTCATGACGTTCATCCATCTTTTGACGTAAAGCCTCGTACGAGCTTACAACGTCTCTCATGACGAATGACCGTACCACGTTCATTACCCATTCCTTGACGTCATTTGGAATGGTGTCAGGGGCCGCGGCATTGGCGGCTTCTTCAACAGTTGCATAGGGAACTCCCTGCCATTCCCAAGTCTGAGGTGTGGAGAATGCTGGCAGGGTAGTGGGTGATGGGTTTCTGACTACTCCCGACGCCTTGGGTGTGCTGCTGTTGTGTGGTTCTTCAGCAGGGGCAGCTGGTCCTGCTTCCGATGATGTGGAAGTGGCCTGACTCCTCCAGGGGTCAGCAGGCTCACTCATTGTGTGTCCTCCGGGGAACGAAACACCTCCAAGGTTGTATTGAGACATGGGGATCGATGTCGAGGATAATGGGAATGATGTGACGGACAATGTATTAATCGATCGAGGCTTGGTCTCAGCCTTAGAAGGGTTCGGGGTTTTCCTCGATGAGTCCTTCTTCTTCTAGCTCCTCTCGTAGAGCTTCTGCTCGGTCGTGCCAATATTCTCGCTCTTCCTCAAAATCAGGGATGAGCCGAAATGGTGCCGAGTAGGTGGTATAGGCGTGTACTTGTATCGTGTAGTGGTAGAGTACTTGTTGCCAGTTGGTGACGAGAGGTTGGTAGATGAAGTACGCGGTGCAGATGACTGTGAGTTGTCCCTGCGCCGGGCGATAAAAGTCTACGATGTAGTTCTGGTATACGAATGCTATTTGATAGCGGGGCATGAACTACTTCGTGATGATACAAAATATTACTGGTCCTAGTAAGGCCAGTAGCACGACTCCTTTTCAAACTTCACTATCTCTTTGCCTACGCGCTCCTGCTCCTTATTGATTCCCTTGAAGGAAATCTTTCCTAGTCCCACGCAAAGCTTGATCGCAATGCGCCTATCGACGAAGGTGAAATCGTGCCTGGCTCCGATGCGATCGTTTATGACGGATAAGTGTCGGAGAATTCGATCCCGACACTTCAACTGCTCCTCTGTGAACTTGGCTGCGATGTGCGGCTGCTGCAAGACTTTGTATCGCTGAATGGTAGCGTATACAGTCAGCGCGATGTTCTCGGGGAGGGTGCCTTTGGGATTCTCATGGATCCCACGTGGATGGTAGCTCTTTGAGAGCACGAAATTGAGAACGTCGATGGCGGGGAATGTAGCGAAGGGATGAGCGGGGGGAATAGGAATGAGTGGGGTGAGCGCGTCTTTTGGGATTCCTTCGAGCCAGAGGCTAACCTTGCGTGCTTGTTGGCGATGCTCAGCTGTGATGCCTTGTGAGCTGGCTTGTGGGGGGTTTGCTTGGACGAGATTTCCCTGGGTTAGATGGTGCGTGCGGCGCAGATCACGTTGGTACGGGTGGTAGCGTCCGTTGGGCGGAACGATACCGTTGTGTACTTGAGGCGCTTTGCCGGTCGCTGCAGCGCTGTTCCTTTTGAAGGAAGGAAGCGGCTTAGGCGGTAGAGATGCAGAGGAAGTGTATGAGGGAAGTGGTGTGGAAAAAGCCCTGCCCTGGGCGGATGTATCTCTGGGCGAAAATGCGCGGCTACCAGTGTTAGACACTTGGTAGGGGCGTAAAAGGTCAGTCTTATTCTAATGTCACGGCACGCCGATGACAAAGATAGACAACCAAAGTAGAAACCCCTTGAGGGTCTCCTGGCTAAGAGCCAACAGCGACGAGCTGTGGCGGTACGACGTGCCCACTGACGAGACCCTGTAGTTGTTCGCAAAGCAAGACTTACTGGCGAGGCTAGGGGCGCTATCACACAAGTGAGGATGCAATAGAATGTATAGCACACTGCGAGTGTCTGGTAAGACCCCGCTGTGATGGTAGTGGTGGACGAAGGAGAATAAGACTGAGGTCTCCTCCTCGTCTCGCTGGTCCTTATATACATGATTGTCTAGCTACTGTACAGTACTTCATAAGCGAGTCACACGCTATTCTACTGGACGGTGCTACAATCGTACGATGTGTCCCAATTATCCTGATTGGCTGCCTAATAATAACCCACGGAGACGGGGCTCCTCTTGAGCACGCAATATGGTGTCATGGCGATTGCGCCATATGACGCCATGCCGAGGAGTTCGGTGTCACGTGACAATGCCGAGGGAGATCCGAGGTCATGTGACTAGATGCCTCGTTATCTTATCTCTTTAGGTCACGTGACTTCTTGTGCGACGAGAAATGATGAAAAATAATATGCTTCTTAATAGCATTTGTTCCTTTAATGACTTGTCCGGTAAAACCGTGACATCTACCATAGCATTTATTCAGTTCATCCGGAGTCTGAACCTTGAAGCGGGGGTAGTGTCACAGTATTAAGTGGCACCTTTCTTTTTGCACCATTAAAGTCCTCATTTGAGTGGTTATTCGGACGCCAACCTTCATATTGGTCTCGCAACGTGGATACTTGGACAAACAGCACAATGCCGCCACATACATCACGGACATGACTGTGTCTACCGCATGACCACCAAGCGCCCATGATTCAGCCACCCAGTCACGTGACACTGGCCACTTGCCCTATTCAGAAGTTGTCAGGCGTTGGTCACGTGACACCAGGCCACTTGCCCAGAAAGGAACCCATTGGACCATCAAGCTAGCAAGCATCCAATTCGCCACTCAAGATAGTGGCACCACTTTGCTGCCTAAACCAATAGGCAGATACCACAACAGAGGATCCCCCTACCAACCGGCATACAGTATAGCCAGGTACAGGATAGGCTAGATCTTCTCACAACCCTATCCGGATGAAGACTGATCGTCACACTCATTGTTCTGAGTTTGGACAGATCCTCTCATCTGATGTTGCAACCGTTGTGATGTGCTCTGTTGGCCATCACCCATTGGCCCCTCAACAGTGGGCCCACTTACAGGCATTTATCTCATTGGATTAGATAGGATTACCTCAGCGTATCCATGGCCATTGTAGATAGTTGCTATGACGAAGTCCAGAACCATTACCGGTTCTGGCAATATGTTCACATGTAGGTATCTGAGGTCTTACAGTAGCACAGTGCCAGGGGCCCTGCCCTACATGTATATAAAGCCCATAAGGATCTAAGAGAGGACCTTAGATTCATTATCCTATTGTATGCAGCCTAAACAGCCAATTCACCCCCCTAGTTGTGAGCATAAGGCTAAGGGCCCTTTGAGCCCCTTTTCCAGACTGCATACCACTGCGCGCGTCCTCAGCCTAGCCCTTGTGGCAGGCTTTTTATGTGGGATCATTTGTGCAGGTCACAAAAGCAGACTTGCCCTTAATTGGGTTAAGTGCTTTGGTGCTTTGTGACAGGTATCTATCTACCTTGTGTATGTGAACTAATATCCCCTTAAGGACATATCTCCGGTGGCGTGTGTTACCTTCATTGGATTCTTCCGAAGTCCGACCGTTGCTTCTAGGTGGGATGATATTACTGTATAAGTTAGGCTTACCTAATACCAGCGCTACTTGTCACATGTGTGGATATCATGTGATATGTCACGTGACTAGACCTGGACCTTCGTGATGCCTAGGACTGTCAGTACTTCACGTACTGGTTTGTTCCTTTCTGGACAGCCTAGCGCTGATGTCATATGATGTCCTAGTCACGTGCAGATTAAAAGACGTGAAAATCTGTGACAGTACCCCCCCTTCTAGACAGTTCATCCCAAATCTGGCTTTTTGCGTGATTTCTGGAAGTAATTATCGCCTGTTGAACCAAATCCACGGTGTCCTCGGGCTGAGGGTTTGAGGTAATCAACCAGTGAAATGACAGGGGTGATAATACGTTCAATGATAAGTTGAGCGACTCGATCGCCCAAGTTAACTGTGAAGTCATCATTGGTATTATTGATTAGCAAAATCTTGATTTCGCCTGTGTATCCTCTGTCGATTACACCAGCACCTATGTCAATGCCTTTGACAGCTAACCCACTTCGTGGTGCAATTCGACCATAGGTCCCTCGAGGTGTTGTAAAGTGAAGTCCTGTGGATACCAATCCTCTTGAGTGTGCTCAGATGGTTGTTGGTTCTGATGCGGCTAAATCCATTCCAGCATCATCTTCATGGGCATATTTTGGTGCTTGTGCATTTGGATTGTCTAGTGTAATTTGAAGATCTCTAGAATGATCCCAATCATCTCTATCCTGATCGTATATCTGAATGGTATCAGTGGCGGGGTCATAGACTTGACCTGTTTTCCTAGGTGGAAAAATGCCATCGACCGAAGTTATGTCAATGAGAGATATTGGTTGAGGTGCATCAGGATATTTTCTGTGAAATTCCTTGATGAGACGCGGAGATTTCTTCAAATTTGCAGCAGGTTCCCAAGTTTCTTCGGCTTTAGAATAACCCTTCCAATGCACCAAATATTGAAGTTTGCCATGAATGACATGAGAGTCGACTATATACTCGACTTCCCATTCTTTGCCAGTCTTCTTTTTGATAGGAGGATGGGGTCTGAGTGTGTGACCTGGTATTTCGTCTTCATGGTAGAGCACGAGCTTGGACGCATGAAAAACTGGATGAATGCTGTATTGTCACGACATTTTGAGTCTATATGTGACTGGTCCTAGTTTTTCTACGATTTCAAAGGGTCCATCTCTTCGTTGTGCCAGTTTGGCTCCCGATGTCTGCCAATCTTTAGTGGAGAGTAATACTTGATCTCCAACTTTGAAAGGCACAGGTCGTACGGATTGATCGTAGTACCACTTCATGCGTTCAGCCGCCAATAAAATGGCTGCCTTCACTTGCTCTTGTGCTTCTACTCGTGCCTGCATTATGGAATCTAGCGTATTATGCTTTATAGGGTCCATTATTGTTGGTTCTGCATGTGGATGTCTACCGTATTCGACAAAGAATGGTGAATTCTTAGTGGCTTCAGAAGCCTGGTTATTATAGGCGAATTCGGCAGTTGGCAGTAATGTACTCCAGTCTTCCACGCATTTATCAGTATAGATACAAAGATATTGCTCTAGCGACTGATTTGTTCTTTCAGTTTGACCATCGGTCTCCGGATGATATGCGGATGACATTGTTGATTGTATTCCTAGGAGTTTGCATACTTCTTGGAATAATGCACTTGCAAACTGAGTACCTCTATCCAAGATAATCTGTCTCGGAAGACCATGCTGTGTCCATACCCTCTCATAGAAAGTTTGAGCAAGGTCTGATGCTGAGAACTCATTGGTGATTGCAAAGAAATGCGCTCTTTTGGTCAAACGATCGACAACTACCATTATTGCGTTGAATCCATGGAATTCTGGTAATTGAGTGATTAAGTCGACAGAGACAATTTTCCAAGATTCTGTTGGAACCTCATTTGGCTGTAGTTCTCCATATTTTGGCTGATTGATGTTCTTGTTGCGTTGACAAAGGTCGCAAGAACCAACATACTTTTTGACGTAAGTGAACATTCCTCGCCACCAGTAATTATGAGATAGCATCTCATATGTCTTCCATCTTTCAGGATGACCTGCACTGGCAGCTTCATGATGACGCTGGACACTTTCGAAGTTCCAGTCTTCGAGTCCTTTCGAGAACTCTCGTTGTCCTTTCTTGAGTAGGTCTTGATATGATCTGTTCACATCGTCGTCTTGTAGTGATTCCTTGATCTTGTCCACCAAATCATGATCTGTGACGACTGCAAGATGGGTATGTTGAATAGCTTTAATCGTGAAATATTTCGGTTTGAGCAGAGTCTTATCGGAATTATCGAGATTTACTCCCTCTTCATGATCTGGCCTCCTGGACAGAGGATCAGCACGATGCATTGATTTCCCTGGTTTGTGATGTAGTTGGATGTTGAACCGTGTAAGATATAGCGACCATCGAGCTTGCCATCTCGTCACCTTTTGTGCTGATTTGAAATAGGTTAAATTCTGGTGATCGGACCAAATTTCTACCAGGAGCGGATGACCTTCAAGATGTTGTCGGTATTCTTCCAATGCTCGAATAATTGCGAGCATCTCTTTGTCATAGATTTCATAGTTCCACTCAGCCTCATTGAGGCTTTTCGAATAGAATGCGATTGGATGCCACAACCCATCGTCTTTGAGTTGTTCCAAGCATGCGCCAGTGGCAAAATCACTGGAATCCGTTTCTAACCGGAATAGATGAGTATCATCCGGTAATGCCAGAATTGGAGCTGAAGTAAAAGCATTTTTGAGAGCATTAAATGCCTGTTGTTGTTCTTCACCCCATACCCATTTCTGATCCTTTCGTGTAAGGATATTGAGTGGTTGAGACTTTTTGGCAAATCCTTCAATGAATCAACGATAGAAGTTGGCGAACCCAAGGAAAGCTTGTACTTGCTTAACCTTTTTGGGTTCCGGCCAGTCGAGTACACCTGCGACCTTTTGAGGATCCATACGAGCCTCCCCTTTAGAGATAATCATCCCTAAGTACTCAATCGAAGGTTGCTCGAAAAAGCACTTTTCTGGTTTGGCAAAAAGGTCATTGTCCCGTAATCTTTTAATTACCTCTTTAGTAATCTTCTGATGTTGTTTCAGATCATTAGTGAAGATTAGAATATCATCGAGGTAGATGATCACGTGGCCTTCCTGAATAAGATCCTCTAAAATCTCATTCATCATGTGCTGGAAGGTGGCTGGTGTGTTACGAAAACCTAAAAACATAACCGTGGCCTCATATAAACCATGATGTGTCACAAAAGCTGTTTTCCATTCGTCATCCTTGTGAATGCGAACATTGTTGTATCCCCATCTGAGATCCAGCTTGGTGAATATTGACGCATTACTGAGCTGATCGATAAGCTTGCTTATTCGTGGAATAGGGAAGCAATTCTTCTTGGTTATAGCATTAAGTTTTCGGTAGTCTTGTACCAGTCTTAGCATGCTGTCCTTCTTTTTGACAAAGAATACCGGGGTCGCAATAGGTGATTTCAACTTTTGAATGTAGCCTTTTGCTAGATTTTCGTCGATCCATGAATCTAGGGAATTTCTTTCCTCCGGATTCATAGGATAAAGTTTGCTTGATCGTGGTAATTCATGTTCTTCTTCAAACTCGATTGCATGATCATAAGGCTTTCGAGTTGGCATCCTTTCGGACGCTTTCTTGGAGAAGACATCACCGAATGAATGTAGATAATCTGGTACTAGTTTTTCCCAAGATTCTACTTCATTAATAACCTGATCTTCTGGGCTGCCAGTGTTTGACTGGGATGCCACTTCTGTCAGATTTTCTTCTGGTTCAGCATAGCCACAATCTGCTATGGAAAGTATCATGCGAGCTATTTGTTCAGCTTCGGGGTCGTCCATCTCGACCCACGAGATTATGGGATTTACTGCATCAATGTTGTGTCCATTGAACATTCTGAATGCAGTTGGCTTTTCATCCGCCACTTGTTGTGCTCATTGCGAGATTTTTGCAGCTTCCTCTCTCACAATGGCTTGTTGTTTTTTATGAAGCCTCTGGTGGTGACACGTACTCGGGCATCGTGAGTATTTCCATTCTCCAGCTTGCCAGTTGATTTCTGGATTGTGCTGATGTAAGTATGACATCCCAATGATCATGTCTAACTTCCCGATGTCTGTGACTAGCAGACGGTGGGTGGAACCATGATCTCCGACTTTGAGGTATGCTTTTACATAGTCAGTTATTTCGCCATGTTTGTTTTGAGATCTGTCAGCATTGTACACTTTGTATGTCGTATTAAGCTTGGAGGTTGCGATTCAATTGTTCTTGACGAATCGCTTGCTGATATACATGGAATATGCTCCTGAGTCGACTAAAGCTTCGACACTCGATGTTTTGCCATACACCTATAACGTAACTGGTAAATAGAATGATGATAGATTTGGAGACGAATTCTTTATTGTTACATTATCATCCTCTGTGTTGCGACGATCTACAGAGGTGTCTGATTTGGGTGCTAAATGTACAGGTCTTATATAATGTTCTGGGGACTCTGACGAGCTGCCTACAGATCTCCTTTGAGAAAACCCTTCCGATCCCTTCTTGAAGAGCCCTCTCCCGCCTTCCTTGATGAACTGGATCCATTTGCCCTCAGGTGCCTGAGCTTTGAAAGGATCACGGCAAAATCTTCATCCGACTCGGATGCATCAGGCTCACTTTCTGAGTGGATGCTGCGGTCGCTGATATGCGCAGCTGTCTCCTTACTCTTCCCCTTAGTCTTAGAGGAAGAGCTCTTCTTCTTTGGCTTCTTCTCTTCTTCGGTGTCAGAGCTTTCGCTCTCTGCATCTGATGAAGCGGAATCAGATACCACCTGTCGCATTTTGGACGACTTTGACTTTTTCTTGTCGTCGTCCTTTTTCTTCGCATCCTTCTTCTTCACGGCTGTCTCCTTCTCCTTCTCAATCTGCCTCTTGACATGGTCCAATTTGAAACAATCAGAGCAATACTTGCTGAAGCATTTCGACGATTTGAAGAACATAGGTTTGTTCTTCTTGCAGTTGGCACAAACCAACTTGTCATCTTGTACGCTTCGCACTTTGCCCAATTTACTCTTCCCTTTCGTCCCAACTGCATCAACCTCCATAGCATTTGGGTCCTTGGTTTCAGCCTTGGCATGGTGGCCTTCTCGTTGTAGTGATGTAAATATCCGGAGTGCGAATGTAAGAAACTCAGTCCACTTTTTGGGCCAGTTGTCCTTGGTTGTGTCTGCTAACATAAGCAGCCACGTTTTCTCTGGAATATGTTTCTTGATCTTTTCGATCAAGTCTTGATCCGAGAAGCCTGTACCGGTTGCCTTTGGACGGAAGTCTTCTGCGAACTTTCGGAAGTCTCGATGATCCTTCTTGACGAAGGCTTCTAACTCCGTTCGCTTCTTGTTGTCCTTGTCCAATGATTCATATGCCGTGCGAAGTTCTGAGACGAACTCCGCCCAAGTTCCTGGTGCCTTATTGTTTTCGTTTATCTCGGTAATCCAATGTCGCATGTATTCGCATGCTCCTCCTTTTAGGAGCAAGAGGGTAGACATAATTTTGGACTCGTCTTTGGTATGTCCAGTATATTTCAACCAGAGCATGACTTGTTCGAGCCAATCATCGAGATTGACTCCATCCTTGTTGCCGCCATATTTTTCTGGCTGGTCAATTTTTACGCCTTTACCCTTGCGACCAAATGATGGCTCATCATCGTCGTCCGTGTCGTCGACATTGTTACCGCCTTGCCCTGCCTTCCTTCCCTGTGTGGATGCCCATGCGCGAAGTCGATCATGTGATTTCTTTAAGTCTTCCGTCCTTGTTTGGAGATCCTTGACTTCATCGTCAAATGCCACCCATGATTCGTTAATGGCCTTGTTATCCTCAGCTAAGGCTGCTGAGGTTTTTTCCAAGTCTGAGATTCGAGACTCAGATTGTTGGCGATGCTGGTTTAGGAAGACTGTCAGATTGTGAAATTCCGTGGTGTTACGTTCAATCGTGTGCGCTTGGCGCTGGATAAGATTTTCGTAATGCACCACCGTTTGTTGACGCATTTCTTCCACCACGTTTGTGACCAAGTCAACTACCCAATTCTTCACATTTTCGGGTATATTCGCATTTGGAGGGGCCGTGTTGGCGAGGGCTTGACGAATGATAGGATTCGGGGGTTGCAATACAATATTAAGTCGTGCGGAAAGCTCCGGAGATGGAGCACAAGAGAAACTGGGATCATGTGCAGTGGGGGTCACCATCTTACAATTCTTCCTCTATTTCGCATAGATGTTCTTCAAACTCAACGATATGACTATTTGCGATTGTGGCTGCTCGGACGATTGCTCGACTGGCATGAATGTGATTCAGCAGATAAAGGTTGTGGAATATAACCTTGACGAAGGGTTGCCACAAGAACCTAGTCTTGTCCCTGACTGTGGGCCACTGATGATTATGATGGATTTCGCAAAGACATTCTACTTCCTCGAGCCAATCGACGAAGCTATTGTAAGCTTCGGTGAGACGATCTTCGGGTTGTTCTGTGCCAATTGGAATATAGCAGATATGAACCGTGACGTTCCTCCAATCAAATTCTGGATAGATTTGAAGGGCGTATATGTGATATACGTCATGGTAATCGATGTGAAACGTATCCTCGTATGTAGCAAACGCTTCTCCTGCTCATTCTTGAAGAGCCCGAGGTACTGAATCCCAAAGATAATCAAAAGTGTGTCTGACTGGATTGAGCTGTGTAAAATTCTCGAGACTGTTCGAATCGCCAGATGAAGACATATACAAAATTCGTATCTACAGCACAGGTCGCCCGGTGACCTGTATTCCTAGACAATATTTCTGGATAATATCTCTGATTATCCAGTGAGCTTCTTCACCCTGATGCTTCCTCTCCTGGACGTAGTTGCAGAAGTCGTGAACCACGTGTTGGTGAACGAAGGAAAGCTTAAATTCCGCGATGTCAGTGCGGATGGATTCGAGCTTGAGTATGAGATGCTCAAGGTCAAAGATGTCGTGGTCGTCAAGCTGACGACGGTATCATTTGGTGAGTAGGATATGAATCTGTCGAAGGGTGCCTTCGATGTGCTGAGTCGAGATGATAGAGACGGCGAGAGGATAGATGAAATGAGACCCAGTAGCGGTCTCGACGTATGTCCCTTGATTGAGATTTGGACCGGATGGTCCTGCAGGTAGACTCGGTCGCCTGACCGAGGGAGTCTGGATGATAGAAACTGAACTTGTGCCGCGAGGGGGCTGACCTCCAGTGGAAATGTGTTCTGGCCTTGGCAGGTGTCTTATGGGCCACTGCTCGTAGAACTCTTCTGGAGTTCTCACTCGAGGACGATGGATGACACCGTCGATGCTGCACAATGCCTTGGTGTGGCTTACGCTGGTAGAGTCGGCGACTGACAGAACGTCAGGTGAAGATATGACATCGCTAACGTGTGGGTGGACGTGCGAAGATGCAACACTGCGGCGAGTACGCTGGGCAGGCACTCGAGGCAGGTAAGATAAGCAGACTTATTCTTCTATCACAAACTTAGGACGCAGCACGCTGACTAAGCCTATGACCTTATGATCAAACACTTACTGACTGTTGTCGAAGTAAGGATGGACACAAAGACGATCAAGGTAAAGCAGTGCCTTTCAAGTGAGCACTGATAACACTGTATGAATAGGCGTAGCAGAGATGAGAATAAGTCTGGGGGACTTATGCGTCTCAGAGCTCTGGCTTATATACATGAGCAGAGGGACCCTTGGTACCCTGATACCCCAGAACTGCTAGCTAATGGACATTGTCTGATTGGTTACCACTACCTGTCAGACTACGTGTGTCATGCATGCCGAACCTCCGAACTACTTAGTAAGACCATGGGAATGGTATTGTCTGTAATGGCTACATCTCCGGTGGCGTGGTATCTATCTACCTCGTGTATGTGAACTAATATCCCCTTAAGGACATATCTCCCGTGGCATGTGTCTCCTTCGTTGGATTCTTCCGGAGTCCGACCGTTGCTTCTAGGTGGGATGATATTACTGTATAAGTTAGGCTTACCTAATATCAGCACTACTTGTCACATGTGTGGATATCACGTGATATGTCACGTGACTAGACCTGGACCTTCGTGATGCCTAGGACTGTCAGTACTTCGCGTACCGGTTCGTTCCTTTCTGGACAGCCTAGCGCTGATGTCATATGATGTCCTAGTCACGTGCAGATTGAAAGACGTGAAAATCTGTGACAGTATTGCCGTCTTCTTTTCTCCCCTAAAGTCCATGGCTGGAGGCAGTTGCATGATGAGATCCACTGTGATGATCTCCCATGGTCCTCCTGGTACCTCATTTGGTTGTAGTAGTCTGTATGGTTTTTCCCTTGAGTACTTGTTGCGTTGACAACTGTCGCAACCTTGTATGTATTGTTTAACCATTACAAACATTCCTGGCCACCAATAGTTCTGAGTAATGAGCTCCAATATTTTAAACCTGCCTGGATGTCTGGCTGGTAATGTGTCATGATGGAGCTTTATTAGATCAAGGTGTAGCTGTTGATCTTTGGGGACATAAACCTTTCCATGATGGAGCAGCAGTCCGTGCTCAAAGTTCCATTCTGCAAGGTTTTTCCCAAATTCGCGCTGTCCTGTAGTCAAAAGTGCACGATAATCCTTGGTCATCATGTCGTTCATGAGTGCCTTCTTGATCCTTTCCAGTAGTTGAGCATCATCAACTTCAGATGCGTGAGCGGGTCGAATCACATTGATAGTGAAAAATTCAGGTTTTAACAGCATTTGGTTCGAATTGTCACTGTCTACCCCCCTCTCATGGTCTGGCCTCCTGGACAGAGGATCAGCATGAAGCATTGCCTTTCCAGGCTGGTGACTGAGAATGAAATTAAATGTGGTGAGGAATAATGACCAGCGTGCTTGGTGCCAGGATAATTTCTGTGCCTGACAGAAGTATGTAAGGTTGAGGTGGTCTGACCAAATCTCAATGGGTTCTGGGTGTCCTTCTAAATAGTGCCGGTATTCTTCTAGTGCCCGAATAATAGCGAGCATCGCCTTGTCGTAAATCTCATAGTTTCGCTCATGTTCATTGAGTGATTTAGAGTAATATGC